TTTTTGTCTCGGTTTCTAACTGTCTCATACCATCTCATTGTCCCCGTTTCTGTGGGCTCTGACTAATATTAATATCTAATCTTTTGTACAGTGCTTTAAATACTCCCCCCCCACACACACTGTGTATTTCCTCATAGACTGTCTAGTCTCAGCCTCTCCCACCCCAATGTCTACCTTTAGGGAAGAAACAGCTCCTATATTTGCTATAAAATTTAGATCTGTGCTCTGTGAGTATGCAAACGGCTGTCTGTGTTTCTTGTCTCTGGATGTCTCCCCTTCCTTTCACAGTCTCTACCTTTCCTGCCTCTTCCCTGCTCCACCCCTGAGCTCACTGCGCCTTGAGGCTGGGGTCTCCCTCCACCCCTCTCCCATCCATCTGCAGGCTGCTCACGGCCCCAGGTAATGATGCTGCGGAAGACCTGATTAACTTCTCTTCTTGCCTGCAGATTAATCCTGCTGTCTGAGCACAAGCTCTGACACAACCTGCACTGAGCTGAGATAGGACCTAGGGTAAGGGGCTGGAGTTGCTGTGGGGGGCTGTGTCCTGAACGGGGGTACCTCAGGCTCTGGCCGGTCTTCTGCCACCCCACCGGCTCCTTCCATCCTTGACTTCTCAGAATCAGACCGAAGAGATCCCCTCTGACTGAGAGGGGGTGGTGACCAGAGCCTGACCTCCCCTCCTCTCCACCTCATCTCCTGCTCCCAGGGCTCAAATTGTCACTTTTCCAGTGAAGTGTCTGGTCATTTTCAGAGGCAATTTTAGGAGAATATGCAGCTGCTGCTCTCTACCCTTCTTTTCCTTTCCCAGGGCTAAAGGCACTGTCAGCTCTCTGGGCTGGAGATGGTGGGAGTAGGGAGTGGGCAGGGGGCAGGGTCCCTGCCCTCCCTTCTGTCTTTCCCTATCATATGGATGGACGGTAGTTTGAGGAAGGGTAGGGGATCCTCTCCTTTACTCTCCATCTCTCTCTCCCTTTCCTCTTTTCTGTCTCTGCCTTTATTTTTGGAGCCCAGGAGTGTGTTTTCCTCTTCTGAAGCCTATAGGGGCTCAGTTTCCCCACCATGTTATAGGGCTTGAATTGGCACCATCATGATGGGAGAAGCTGGAGTTCTGCTGCCCTGAACCTACCCCACTCAGCCAGTCCACCTTTCTCAGTCTAGGTTGTTTCATCCTCTGAGGGGCACTAACTATCCTGGAGTCCCTTGACCCCCACAAGGAACCATTCCAGCATCTCACAGCTCACACCAGCTCTAGCTCAGCCCTTCTGGCTCCGCCATTTCCTCCCAGGCTGTGATGGACTCTCTGTGTTCCTTGCTCTGTGGGCTGTCTTCCAGCTGTCTCCTGGCTGCAGGACCTGGCAGGATGTGGAAGCTGCCATTCTTCCATTCTTTTCTGGTATCTCCAGCCAGTGTCACTTATGGCTTTGGCCCCTCCTCCCCACCCTGAAGCACCCCTCCGGGATGTTGCACCCAGGTTGTGCACGTGGTAGACATATGCAGGTCATTTGTGTGCACAAGCATGTGCTGAGCTGGCCTCCACCTCTACCCCCTGGGAACAGCCAACTAATGTGTCTCATCTCAGCTCAACCATACACTCCTTTTCATGGCCTCACCCTCAACCCTCCCCAGCAGCAAAGCAGAGAACTGCAGAGGGAGGATCTGCTCAGGACCCTGCCCTCTAGGCCAGTGACAGCATCTGAGATGTGGCTCAAATAAAGAGTAGGTATTCAAAGGAAAAAATACCTAGGTGCTCTGTAGCAGCACCACTCACTTTACATGTTATTTGCACATGATTTGTGAGCAAAATGAAGCCTGGCCTGCCCCAGCCATCTGCGGAAAGAATGAAGAAACAAAATGGAGTCACCATAGCCAGGCTAACGAAATTACTTAAGTCAGAATGTGCTAAAACATGAGGAATTGATTTTATTTTAACTAGCCTGAGAACTTAAACTTTTCAGTGGTGCATCAGTGCTTGGAGATATAAAAAATTCCTATAGACGGCCCTCTGAGGAGCTTGGGAAAGAATGTCTGCATGTCCAGACCACCTGATAGCCATTATCTAGACCATTGCACACCTGGAGGGTTACCATCTCGGACCAGTCCACAGGCTGAGAATGCAGGACTGATTCTTCTCAAGAATGTAGTTTTTACTATAAGACCTCTCAACTTTCTTCAGCACACTCAGTATTAACCTGGAAGTGCTTTGTTGTTGTTTTCCAATTTGCAAATCTTAAGACCCTTGAATAAAACTGTCATTTAATTCTGGTGAAACCTGATTCATTTTTGCTTGGTGGACATCTCCAAAACCTCCCTCCTTCATGACCTCTGACTTAGTTTAGAAGCAGCTCTCTCAAATCCTTGCTAATCCAAGAGATCAAAGGGTGATCAGTTCTCTCTGCCATTCCCTTGCTCCCCCCACCCTTGGCTCCTGCCATACTCTGTGAGATGCCACATCATCAAAGGACATTATTCATGGTGGACCTTTGCTGAAGTCCTGCTTCCCTGGTGCCAGGGCTTGGGGGCAGGGATGGATGGATTGGTGGGGGGAGGGAAGCTGATGATAGATGGCACCCAGAAGGTTTTAGTCTTCAGCCTTCAGTCTAACATTCCTCCTGCATTCCCTACTCCCTCCAGCCTGCTTAGCTTGGACCTTCTCCAGAGTGGTTGGAGGGAAGAGGTGGGAGATGGCTGGGTCCACTGAGAGCAGCCCCTGAGCTTCCCAAAGACATGAGCTAGTCATGCCATTTACATGTAAAAAGCCTCCCACATCTATCCCCCATCCCACCAGAGGCCCCCAAACCTGGGTCCTGGCCCTGTCATTAGGGGGATAATGGGAAGCTTTTGATGCAGACCCATAAGCCTTTCACATAATAAAGTGGCCTTGAGACCCAGCTGCTGCCCTCACTCAGGGGTGAGCATGGCTGGGGTGCTGTGACTCCTTTAGTATGACCCAAGACCCAGGGTGGGTAGGTGCTGGGAGTGGGGAGTGAGGAGTCACACATTTCAGGACCCTGACTGCACTGCAGAGGCTCTCTGGAGGATCCACGTTGTGGGTTGCAATGTGGGAAGCTGGACTCAGGCTTTCTTTTTTGTTCTATAAATAAATTTTTATTGAGCACCTATTGTATGCCAAACACTGTAGAGCTAGGGATCCAGTAACAAACAACAGCCAAAAGTCCTTGCCCTTATGATGCTGACATTCTGGTGGGGGTAGGGTAGACAGACTCTGAGTAAAATATTTAGCATGTTGGATGTAGTAAGTGCATGAAGAAAAGAAACAGGCACGGGATATGGAATATGAAAGAATAGTAATTTTATTTTATTTTATTTTAAAAAATATATCTTTATTGATTTCAGAGAGAGAACAGGAGAGGGAGAGAGAGAGACAGAAACATCAATGATGAGAGAATCATTGATCGAGCCCACAACCCGGGCATGTGCCCTGACCGGGAATTGAACCCCAATCGCCTGGATCCTAGGTCGATGCTCAACTGCTGAGCCACACCCGGCCGGGCGATAATAATTTTAAATGGGGTGATTGGGGAAGGTGCTGGTGAGCAGGAGGCTTTGTAGTAAATGCACAACAGAGTTTTGGTTCTCTCCCCAGTCTCAAGATGTAGAAGAGTGCAAGGTCCCAAATCTCCAAGTCTCTTGGAGAGGCAGACGGGTCACCACTTCCTCTGAGAGAGTTAGCTATTCCCTTGCTGGTCAAACCTCATACCAGGGAAAGCTTAGAGTGACAAAACCTGAGTCTGAGACTGTTCTCCAGTAGCTGTATGCCCTGGAGCATGTGACTGAAATTTCTGAGCCTCAATCTCCTCACCTGAAAAATGGGAATATTTCCTACTCACATGGTGGTGGTGGTGAAACTCAAATGAATTGCTCTGTGCCAACCTTGCAAACATTTAAACCCTGCTCTCATTATATGTTGAAGTGATGAATCGCTCTGAAGCGGCTTTCACTTTGCCGCTCCCCTAATCTCTATCAGCAGCATCTTTTCTCTCTGGGTCTCCTTTCCGATTCTGACTCTGACTCTGACTCTCCCTTGGGGCTCTCCCTTGGGTGTGAGATGAACAGCATAAGCCTCCTCAACAGTGTGGGCCATGAACAAGAGGTTTGAAAGGTCATGGGACAAAGTGCCTGAGCATCGAGGAGACAGATGAGAGTAGGGGGAAAAGTTAACTGAGAGGAAAAAAGAAGCAATTAAGAGACCAATGCTGGGTTTGGGGTGAGGGTAGGGGAACAGTTTAGCTGTAGTGTTTGGTTTTTCCTCTCTGAGATTAGGAGGGCTAGAAGTCAGAACTCTAGAAGGATGCAACTAAGTCAGGCTGGTTCGGGAATCAAGAAGGAGTGGGGTAGGGAGGCTGAGGGGAGAGGCATTAGCACTGGGGAGGTGGTGGATGGAGCCAGACACTGACGAGGCCTCTGCATTCAATAGCAGGGAGAAGTACTGACCCTCAGTTGATCTGAGGACCAAGGTGATAGGTCCACCCCAGCTGAGAGGAGAACAGAGGGTGAAATGGGGACTGGAGGGGATGCCAGGATTGCCTCCCCATCCTCAGGGGCCCCGACCTGGCAGTCCTGGTTGCCTTGGTGGTGGGAGGGCTGGAGAAGCACCCCCTGGTTCTGCTCTGGCCTGGCAGGCTAAGCTGAAGGTTTAAAGGGCAAGGGCTGGTGAGTGAACAAGGAGGAGAAAGAGGCCCAGGGACCACGCCTATGGAGCTGGACCCGGCACGCAAATTTTGTGATAAACCACACACAAGTTATTCCTTAGCGTGCCCAGCTAGGGGCTGCTGGAAAGTGGGCAGCTAGATAACCCCAGCACACTGATGGGTTCATTGTGTGTGTGTGTGTGTGTGTGTGTGTGTGTGTGTGTGTGTGTGTGTGTGTGTGTGTGTCTGCAGCCTATATCCTCCTTCCCACCAGCCTCTCCCCTCCCTCCAGCCGTCCAGGGATTGGTGATTCTCAGCCCCTCCCCCAGCTCCCCCAGACCCTCCCAGAGCCTTTATCTGGGAGCCAGCCAGAGATCCTGCCACATTCCCAGATCCCCTCCGCTCCCCGCTTCTCTCTTCACAGCACACCAGCAGCACCAGCGTTTGTGGGAAGCGGGGCAGCGATCCCGGCCAGCTCCCTGATTCTACTAGACCATCCGGCTGTAGGCTCAAAGCTGCTCCACAGGTAGGCTCGGACGGGAGAACGTTGACTGAAGCTGGCACCAAAAGACAGGGGCCAGAGTCAGGAGGAATAAAGGAAGTGGCAGCCTTTGATCTGGGAGCAGGGTCCTGGGAAGTGAGCAGAAAGCAGAAAGCAGAAAGAAAGGGGTCGAGAGCTAGTGATGTTTGGAGCCTGTGGGTACGGACTGATTGTTCTGTACTAGAAAGTTTTTGTCTAAGCCTAGGGGTTGCCTAGTGCTGGAAACTAGTGTCCAGGATCCCTCCTCAAGCAGACTAAGGCCGTGCATGTCCTATAAATCTGTCCTCTGTTGCACCATTGCTCATTGCTGCCAGGTGCACACCCTGGGGAGATATGTCTGATGGGGGAGCAGGGAAAGCAAGCCCAGTGGACCTCCCCCTGCTCAGAGATACTCTCCACAGACCAGGGCTTGGACAGGAGAGTTGGGGGCTTGGGAGGTAGGGTCAAGCCAGGCTGCTGGTCATGAATATGTCCTGAGTTTGCCCTTATATTGTGCCCTCTTTCTCCCTGCCTTCCCTTCCTGTCTCTGCTCTTTTAGCACCATGCAGAGAGCCCTGCTGTTGGCAGCTATCCTGGCCCTCAGCCTGGCCCTTGGGGGCGTCTGTGAGGAGTCACAGGAGCAGGTGGTGCCCGGTAGGGACCACAGGGAGGTAAGGCTCCCCTCCAGGCGGCCAGTCTTGGCAGAGTACTGGGCAGCATCATGGGGCAGGGCGAGGGTGTGGCTGGTGGGTTGGGAGTTACCTGGGTTGTCCGTCAGAGGGCTGGATTTCCCTGCCTCTCTGGTCAGCTCATGTTCTCTGGGGTATGCCTGTAAGGATCTCTGTCCCTCTGCACGAGTTTGACACCTTGTGTGTAAGAGGTGCCCTACCAATATGATTGACTGGTGACTTGGTGATTAGATGGTACTTCGAGGGGTAGGCCAGGTTGGTCTAAAGTTCTCCATGGTCCAGCTCAGGTTCAGGTCCTGTCCCTTTGTGGGGAGGTGTGGGTGGAGATTCTATCTACTCCCTGGATGGTATGAAACACAGACTTTCTCCCCCAAATGGTCATTTGTGTGCTATTTTGCCTATCAGTTATGTGTATTATTTTGTTTTCAAAATTAAAATAAACTCCCTTATCCTCTGCTCACCCACCCCCGGTAACCTCAGGTGCTCCTAAGATCCCAACCCTTTCCTTTCTCCTCTCCCTTGACCCCCTCTAGCCTCTGCTTAGTCAGGATAGAAAAATGGTAAGAGAAACAAACACAAAACAAGTTAGGCCCTGATTTCCAAAGTTCTTCTAAGAAAAGGAATAGGACTTGTCAGGGTAGGGCTACAGAGGGGGATCAAGGAAGAAGTCTTTATGAGGTTTTGAAATGATAGCAATTACATTGGTAGGAATGCTTTTAAGATGATTATAGGTGGAACTTATTACAAATTCAGCATGTGAAGTCTAACTGCCTTTCCAGCTCAAATCTGTTTAGCATCTCATTGCAGGAAGTGGGCAGAGCATTTGAACAATCTGGAGAAAGCGGCTGCTTGGGAAGCTGGGCACTAGGCAGAGAGAGATCACCAGCCTTCATCCAGCTGGTGAGGTGTAGCAGGCACGACAGACTGGCAGCCTTGCAGGTGGCAGGGGTTGTACCAGATTCAAAAGACAAGAACCAGTTCTAAAACCACATAGGGAGGGCCACATATGGGCTGGACACTATTCAGAGCCCAAGTCCCAACTTGAGATAGTCAGGATATCCGGGTATATTCCTCTGAGACAAACTTGCTTTGAGACCTTGCCCCTCTTGGTCAATGAAAAAGAGAGAGATTGCTGTCCTATCCCTTCTCCTTGAAGGTCTGTGAGAACAAGGGAGATTCAAAGTGAGAATCTCCAAACATGATCATTGTTGTCGTCTCTGCAGCTGCAGTAAACTGGGGGTGTGGTGTGTACCCACTGACCACCTGCTGTGCGCCCACTGACCACCTGCTGTGCCCCAGCTGCTAAAAAATAAACCACCAAGACAATTAGCCCCTGCTTGGCAGCAGGGTCAGAATCTGGGGTTCATCTGTGGGATGGAGGAGAAGTGGTGTCACTCTGAACAGGCTGCCTTCCTGGAATTCTGAGTCTAGGGTAGAAGGGGGGGGGGAGAAAACCAGAGGCAGAAAAGAGAGCGAGAGGCAGCAGGAAACACAAGGAGAGAAACATCCACAGACATAGCACAGAGTGGGGGGATTTCAGGGTCACAGACCTGCCCCAGCTTCCAATCATCACCCACCCCCAGGACCGAGTCCTGTCTGTAGCTCCATCATGGAGCACAGATCAGAGGACACTTGCTCTGTCTGATGGGCCTTTCCTGTGAGTGGGGGGAATTCATGGCTCACTCAGTGGGGCAACCACATCCTTGGGCAAGCTAGTTCCTGATGTGCCAGGGAGCAACGAACTGAAGACCCTTCTCACTGAGAGGTGGTAGGAGCTGGGAGAGGGCCTCGTGGGCTGAAAGGGGCCCTTGAGCTTGGAGATAGCATGGCTAACTGTCTCAGTTTTGCTCAGACCACCTCAACTTGAGTAGTGAAAGCCCTACATCCTGGAAAGGCCCTTAGTCTTGGGCAAACAGGGACAGGAGGTCAGTCTGCAGGGATGCCCAATGTTTTCTTTACCAGGGCTTCTCAAATCCTGCTATGCATGTGAATCCTGGGGCGGTGGGTGAGGGGGCTGGTTAAAATGCAGATTCTGTCTCAGCACAGTCTGGGGCAGGACTGAGATTATGCATTTCTAACAAGTTCCCAGGGGGTTGCTGCTGGCCCACAGACCACAGATGCTGAGAGCCCACTTCCGTTCCATCGTGAATCAGAGGAAATCCTGAAGGAAATAAGATGTCAGGTTCAGCTGTGATAGACTCAAGAAAAGGCTGTTTCACCCTGGCCGGCATGGCTCAGTGGTTAGAGCACTGGCCTGCACACTGGAGCAAGGGTCGTAGGTTCAGTTCTCAGCAAGGGCACGCACCTGGGTTGCAGGTTTGATCCCTGCCCCTGATCAGGGCATGTGTGGGAGGCAACCAATCGATGTAAGAGTGCGTTTCTCTCACATGGACATTTCTCTCTCTTTCTCCCCCTCCCTCCTGCCTTCCACTCCCGGTCAGGGCACATGCCCGGGTTGCGGGCTCGATCAGTGACTCTCTCATCATTGATGTTTCAACTATCTCTTCCTCTCCCTTCCTCTCTCTGAAGTCAATAAAGATATATTTAATAAATAAATAAATAAATAAATAAATAAATAAATAAATAAATAAATAAGTGGAAAAATATCCTCACTTCTCAGGTAAGGATTAAAAAAAGAGAAAAGGTTGTTTCTTGTGGGAAAAGAGTGAGTGGATTGGCTGTGAGCCTCCTGCCTCAGCCCTCTTTGTTTCTCTGCCCTAGAAGGTCCCAGATATCAACCAGTTGCTCAAGACACTCTCTGAGACCGGATATTTCTCTGTGGATGATTTGCTCAAATTTTTGGGCAAGGCTAACAACGGTAGGGAGCAGCCCTAGGGAGAGGGATGTGTGGGGGCAGGATTCCCAAGATTAAATTGGCCTGGGCGAGCCCTTCAAGTGGGAAGGAGACTGGAGATGGTTTAGTGAATAATCCCGAGAGTTGTGATCTGGACCACCCCCTAACGGTCACTTTCCATATTCCACTCCCCAGTTATACACTTGTTCTTGTTTTCACAGCTGCTGAGAAACTGCCACTTTTCCAGAAACGTGAGTAGCCTCTTTTCCCTCCCTCTCTCTGCCAACCACTTGCCCAGAGCTCCATGGGCGTGGGGCCCAGGGACTGATGGTCATGGGGGGACAATGTTGGCCCTTTTCCTGTAGGTGACATGCATGACTTCTTCGTGGGACTTATGGGCAAGAGGAACATCCAGCCAGGTAAGAGTGTGTGGAGGCACAGTGGAAAGGTTTAGAGGACTGACCACGACATGCAGAAGTCAAAAGCCTTATATTTGCCCTCAGAGGGAAAGACAAGACTTGTGTTAGCTACAGTGAGGGTTCCTCGGCCCTTTCTATCCAATCAGCTTGGATCCGTGGTGCAGGGTTCCCTGGGAGACGGTCATGAGATGATCCTGCTGTAGCTTGGGGGTGGGGTGGGGTTGGTCAGGGAGGCTTTGTTCCCTCCCCATCTCCCAAACCAAGCACATTTCTTCTTCCCAACTCTGTCTTCTAATACTACCCTTCACAGCCAGCCCTTTGTTGTTGGGTCAGGGTGAAGGTCACATTCAGAAAAATCCCTCCTAATTACACTGTTTACTTTACCCCAGACACTCCTATTGATGTAAAACAACAGAACGTTCCCAGCTTCGGCAGCCCCAAGTATCCCCGCAATGTGGAATGAGGTAAGGAGAGCTGGTTAGGGAGAGGAGAGGGACTGGGTGTGTGTAGGTTGCCAGAGAAGCATTTCCTCTGATGCTACAGGCATGAATGCTCATAAGTTTGCCCTAAAATACACTGCCAGTGCCCAGCACACTGTCAAACACACTAACACTTAGAGGTATGTGACACACCCCCCCC